GTTGTCCACTTGTTCAGGTGTGTGTGGGTCCGGTCCTGTTGTCCACTTGTTCAGGTGTGTGTGGGTCCGGTCCTGTTGTCCACTTGTTCAGGTGTCTGAGCAGGATCTCTGACAGCCTCCATCAAACATTCAGCAGCAGCTCGGCTCAGGTGACCACAAGTTGCCACGCCTGCTCAGGTTTCACTGAGACATTGTAATGGAGGGCTTTGTGATGAGGAAGGGAGGTGACCATGGAGACCATTATTTTGGTTCAAGTCACGTGATCATGTTGGTGACGTGATACCTTGTTAGATGTGATGATAACTGAACTGACCAGCAGATGTCAGTGTTTCTTCTTATATGAACAACGTTATGTTTTAATAAACGTTTTGAATCAGTAAAATATCAGAGTTGAATAAACAAATTAAATATGAGGCACTGAGAAAAAAATAAACAAACACAATCAGATCATTTGTATTTAATGAAGAAACAAAGAGGTACACATGGAATGTTTCAGTTAATTAGAGACAGAACTAGACCTGAACCAGAAGTAAATCAGACCTGAACCCAGAGTTCAGAAGCTCAGTTCAGAGTCAAACAGAAACAAAGAAAATAAAAAACAGGGTTTCAGTACCCCCCCCCCCCCTTCCTACAGGATACATGTTAGATGCTAGCGAAGACGGGAGCAGGTTCAGTCCATCTGGTCAGATCGACCAATCACCACACTGCTGGGCGGGTCACACGGGCATCTGCAGCTGTGAGTACTCGTCCTGCCCCTCCTTCTCCTCCAGGTGAGACTCTACGTCATCAGCATCCAGCTGCAGGAGCACAGGTAAGAGGTCAGCGTCATGGCACCAGTACGGTTTATCACATACACTATACACATGTATGAAACGTTTATCACCTGTAAACAAGGAACAACATCACAGTTGATTTTTATTAAAACACAATAAAAATGTGTCTCAAGTGATGTTTGTGTTGAAGTGGTTCATGTGTCATTCAGAGAAAAACTACAGACGCTGCGTCTATCAAAATAAAATCCAACTCACACAATCTGCTCAGATCAGTTGTAAACACCATGAATCTGGTTTCATTTGGTAACAAACAAGTTTCATGTGATGTCAGGTCGGATAACGTGTGACTCACACTCTGCAGCTCTCTGCGGGTGAAGAGATGAGGCAGCAGCAGCATCCTCACAGGGATCGTCAGCAGCAACACAAAGGGGAAGGCTAATGCAGCTGCTGTCGCCATGACAACCCACAGGAGAGACAGACAGGTCAGCTGGACGAGAGTGAACATGTGCATTCTTAACGTCCGTACCTGTCAGACAAGACACAAGTGTCCACGTCATGTGACCCAGTTTCACACCTCTTTCAGTGACTTTTGTCCCTGGTCAGGGGGTGGGTCTAACCTTGCGGACGTAGCTTTGATCAGGGTGGTACTTTGAGGGCATCAGCAGCAGGATGAGCCTCTCGGTGAGCTGGATCCCGTTCAGAGACATCACACCCATGTAGAGGAAGATCCCAAAAAGCACAGCCAGAGGGATTTGACGCAGAACTTCTCCGATCACAATGGACAGACCTGAGACGAGGAGCAGGGACCAGATCAGAAGTCGTAGTACAAACTGTGGTCACATCAGTCGCAGAAGGACTCAGTCGTACCCACTAGCACAGCCACCAGGAAGCCAGTCACCCTCTGCTCCTTCACTTCCTGGATGCGGGGCTTGTCCCCAGGGGCAACAGCTTTGCTCATGACAGTGAGGGCATTGGTGTGGGTGACGGACCGAACCGTAGCAGCTGACAGCCAAGGCAAACCAAACAGAGCTGAGATTCCACCCACCACCACAATGATGAGGAGGTCCAGGTGAAAGCCAGTTCCCTTCACCAGCATCCTCTCCTTCTTACTGACAATCAGTCTGACGGGCGCAGGGAAAGCGACATTAACACTTCATACTGAGACCAAAAAAAAAAAAAACAAGACAAGAAGAACAGAGTGTTGTACGCTGTGATCTGGGACTCCATGAAGATGAGGATGAAGACGAGAATGGCCGGCAGAATGCTTGCACCCATCATCCAAATGGGAAATTGCCCGTCCGACCCCAAAGGAGAAATCATCCAACCACGCTTCTCTGGACTGGAGACAGAGAATCCACTGGGCACATTGAGTTTCTGTCAGCCAATAGAAAGAAGTCAATTCAACAGAGGTGTTCATACAGATGTTGTAATAAGTCATAAATGTGCTCTGGTCTGACCTGGGTGTAGGTGTCCTCCACACTGTAGTCCACCAACACCATGATGAGGATAGCAATGGGGACCCCAAAGTCTCCGATGATCCTGCGGAGCTTAAGTCAGAAATGTGAGACCTCACATTTAGACTTTGAATATCAGAAAACGTATTACACACCTGGATCTATGAAATGTAGTGAGAGCTGTACCTTTATATCCCTGTCTGCATGTACATGTATCCATAGTTACCTGTGAATGTGTACTTGTGTACAGGAATAAATGTCTGTACCTGTATGTTTGTACTTGAATGTGCTCCTCTTCAACTTCAACTTAAATAAAATTTTGCAGCCAGGAAAAAAAACACAAAACTCACAGGAAACATTCAAGACATGAATACATCCAATAACAGAAAACCGAGAGCTTGGAAAACTATCAGGACCCGCCTCCTTGAGATTTCCCTGTAACATCGTTGTTTCTTCCTAATCTGACCGGTGATGACATGTTTAGTTGCATGTTGTCATTGAACCGCTGGCTGTCGAGCTGGTGTCTTGCAAACAGGTTTTATGGTTGTGGCAGGAGACAATGCCACGGGGCTCTCACCACAACAGCCAGAGATAAACCATTCAGGCTTTAGCATATTTATTTAAACTTTTAAACAAAACTCTCAAAATATAGCTTAAAGCATCTGAAACAGCTGGACGTTTCTCTGTCACCATCCTGTGGGTGAGTGTGTTTGTTCTGAGTGTTCCTTGAGGCAGCTCCACCGCTGCCTTTTAAGCCTGAGGATCCTGGTCTTGGAGAGACGGCATCATCCTATATTGATTTATTCCCTCACTGAGACCTGGCTGCAACCAAATGAATATGTCAGCCTAAATGAATCGACTCCCCCCAGTCATATAAATACACACATTCCCAGAGACTCCAGTCTATCAATTAAACTCATTTGAAAGTGTTGCTTAGTGTTTCTTAGTCTTCCACACCCATCAAGAAAATCACAACAGCCAATCATATTTGCTGTAGTTTACCGTGCTCCCGGGGCTTATTCTGAATTTTTAAATGGAATTCCCTGAGTTTTTATCAAGTCCTATAAACAGATAAAGTTATTATTGTCAGTGACTTTAATATTCATGTACACTAATAATGATAGCCTTAGTGTTGCATTCATCTCATTATTAGACTCAATTGGTTTTAGTCAGACACCAACCTACTCATTGTTGTAACCACACGTGACCTCATAATATCATACAGTGTCAAAATTGAACATCTAATAATATTTACACATAATCTGATTCTATCAGACCATAATTTAATAACCTTTGATTTCTAATTATCAGATTACAGGCCATTAATGAAAAACTCATTATCTAGATGTCTACCTGATAGTGCTGTAGCTAAATTTAAGGAAATAATTCCAATTACATTTAATCATCCATTGAGATAACCAACAAATTCTTTAAAAACCAAAGCTCCACTAAGATTGAGCATTTTGTTGATAGCTCCCGTAAACTCATTATGACTAACATTAGGCTCCATATCGCCTCAAAAAAAGAAGCATGTAATACAAAGTAAACTAGCTCCCTGGTATAACAACTGAATATAATCAATCTATTATTATGATCAGGATATGTACATCTCAGGTTCAGTTCTGGAGGCAGACTCCCTCTCTACTTTAAGATTCAAACTTCCTTCATGATGAAGGTTTAGTTAGAGCTGGTCCAGGTTTGTCTTGGACCTGCTCTTAGTTCTGACCAAGACTGCTTGATATACAATATGTCTCCTCAGATACTCGACGATTATTGACAATAATTCTTCAATAATTTACCTTCCATCTTGCTTCAAACTGTTTCCTCTAACCAGTGCTGTGAATCCTAGTACACTGAGGTTTCTACGTTCTTTTCCCTGTTGAAAGGTTTTTTGGTAGTTTTACTCTTGTTGAGTTAAGAACAGATGAGGTCACAGCTCGTTAACCCTATGAGACAAACTGTGATTTGTGAATATGAGCAGTACAAATAACATTTGATTGATTGATTTCAATCCATATGCACATTAATCGATCATTAAGTCTGGGTCACGGTGGTTTGAAAGCCAGGTTTTAATAAGGGCCAGAACACCAGCATTTCTCTACTTGCAGAGATGGAGTGCATTAGCCTGGAGCTCATCAGTTTTATTACAACGGGTCGGCACATTTTCCAGAATGATAGTTGGTAGTGGGAGATGGTTGATCTGCAGTCTCGGGTGAACCCCGCCTCTCCTGCCCCGTTTTGAGTTTGCTTAGAACTTTCATGTTGATTAGGTCATTTTGCAGGTGCTGAACCCGTGACTCGGACAGCAGTACATCATGTGTGTTGTATTGCAGTAGTGGTACTGTTTGTATTGTAGTACGCCACACGAGAGCAAAAAAAACCAGCTCAATTTCCAGTTTTAATTTGATGAATTCCAAACAAAACGGCTCAATCAGTATCAGTACTACAGAGTCACATTGTAAACCAACACAAACAGGACAGAAGGGAAACCCCGACAACTTACGATGATACACACATGGCTTGAATGTACTGACCCTGCCGGGGAAGAAAGAGCTGTTCTTGAACTTGCGGAGGTAGAAAGCGATGAGATACGTTCCCGCCATAAGCAGTAATGACAGCAAGGCAGTGTTGGGTTCTCCAACAACCTTCCCAGGATTCCCAGCAACAGTTGTATAGTTGCAGAGGAATGGAGATACTGTATTGTTACCATGGTAACAGTTTTGGAGAGGATGCTCCTGAAAGATCTAGAAAAGACAGAGACAAAGAAGTAAACGCTCAGAGTTGCTCTGTGTTGTATTAACAGATACAGTTGTCTGCTTCAGAACCTTTAATTCACACACACTCAGACTTCAACATAAAAATAATCTAAATGAATAAATCTGTAATATCAAAACTCAACACTTAAGCATAATAACCGTTACTTTTTAATAACACACTTCATGCTTATTGGTCTCTGACTTTACCTTGACCAGTTTGGCGAAGGTCTCATAGATGAAAATGAGGGAAATGAGAAAGGAGAAAATCTCCTGAGTGAAGCGGGAGACGAAGCGCACAAGGATGCTTCCCTCAAAGGCAACAGTGAGGAGAACAAGTAGCACCAGCCAGAACCCGATCCACACCCGGCCGGTCAAATACTCGATCCCATTGTCTTTACAAAACTACACAGAAAAAAAAGACCAGGTAGGATACTTTGCTTTGATGGAGGATCCCTGACATATATCCCTGATATTTAACATTGAGCTAAAAAGTAAATTCCTAGTTCACAGTGACACATAGATTTCAGAGGCTAGGGTTAGCAGAACAGATGAAACATCACATGAGGTATCAAGGACAAACTTCAGTTTTAACAGCAATAAGCTTAGAATTCATCTGTTTGACCAACTGTGGTTTTCAAACGCTAAGGCTTATTTGAGACGTACAATCAACCATCATCTGCATAACAGCTTTTATTAAAACTAGTCATTATCTTGGCCAAAAAATCATGATTCCTAAAATAAGGTATCTACTGATACAAAGTGCTGATTGGATACCAGGCCTCTGTCTTCTCTGACAACCTCACTGCTCCTTCACTTCACTGTGTGGTAGACCTAGTTTTTATACTGTGAGGCTGTGAATTCACAGCCTGAACATCACCGACTAGAAAAAGCAGTTTCCATTTCCTCCCCATATTCAAACATCCATCATCATCTGACCATTTTAAGGTAACGTGTAAAAAGTCAGAAAACCCCTCAAGTGAACATTGTGTTGACAGGACTCATGATAGAGATATGGTCATAGAGAATAAATTGAAACAAACAGTTCTCTGAAAACAGATGTAAAGAGAGTCAGGTGAGCTCACAGTGTAGAAGGCCTCTTCAAACACAAGCAGCGGCCCAGAGAAGCCGATCACCAGCAGAGGCTGAGCACCCAACACGCTGAACACTATGCCCTGCATGGCCGTGGCAACAATCAGCTCCGACACACCAATCAGACCCTCTGTTTTCTCACCTGTGTCAAAGGTCAATGATCACAGCAACAACAAAAAGTCTAAAACAATGTATGGAGATTTTATGTAAGCATCAAATAAACATCTGGTTCAACCAAACCTCATCACGAAGTTCAGTCTCTGTCACGACTTACCTAACAGTCCACCAAAGGTGATTGCAGGTGACAGGGCAGCAAAGTAGATGAAGATGATGGCGGCCATGCACTGAGGGTTCAGAGCATCTCTGATGTCACTGAGGTACTGAGGGTAACGTCGCACCACGTCTTTGACCAGACCTCCAAACAGACGACCTGAACGCCTCAGGGGCTCATTGCTGGGTTTGGAGGGAACCAGGGAATCTGCGATAAGATCACAGTTGATGAATATCTTCAGATAAGAGAAGGAAACATTTGGTCTTATCTGGTGACATGATTGTCTTGCAAGGAAGATGAGCACTTTCACAGAGAGATGGCAACTATCAACTGAGCAGGAAGTGACGACAATGTCCAAATTCATAACTGCTGGTGAAACATGTTCATTGACATAAGAACAACCCTGATAACTCACCTTCATGCTGCTGAATACTCGACTGTTTATCCTGCAGTTTGCTGCCCTGCTCCTCTTCCCTCTTTTGGAGCATTTCTCTTTGGAAGCGAGCGACAGAGTGCAGGAGCTCATCCCCATCAACCTCTGAGGGAGGCAGGACGACGCTGCAGTCCAGGAAACGGTTGATGGCTGTCAGAAGATCCTGGCGGTCATCTGCCTGGTACGCTGCCTCGTGGAAGTGCTGAGGAGGTCGAAATCATTATGAAACATTTATTATGTGGCTTCAAGGTAGCAGAGCATCTGTCAAGTCTGTGGGGACTCACCTTGTCTGACATGAGTGTGGAGATTGAGCGTCCGATCTGGTGATAGTCGATGTTAGTGACAGGTGGGCCCAGCAGCAGGAAAAGGAACCTCACAGGGACAGGGACTTCCAGAACAGACTCCAGCAGGACCGCCTCCTGCAGCCGCACAAACGCCATGGAGGGCTGGTCCAGAAAACTCACACTGCCTGTAGACACAGCAGAGGGATGCAGGTTCCCAACTACACACAGTCAAGAAGAAGATGATGTGTATACGATGTGTACGTTTGTAATGCATACCTACGAGGACCACAGTGGCCTCAGCTCTCTCTGGGATCTTCTCCATCAGCTTTGCTTCATGTTTGGATCTGGAGTGACAGGGGGGTGGGGCTTCTCTCTGGACACGCCACAAAACAACCTCAGAATCTTGACAAGTATTTACATTTACTCATTTGAAAAGCTAAATCCTAACCACTGCTTTGCTGATGACTCCCAGTTGTACTTCTCATCTGTCACAGCACCACTCGTGTTCTTCTCCCTGTCCGCCACCTTTCAGAATACTGAGGTGGCACCAACTCCATGTGGTGTCAAATTGAATGATAATCTCACAGCAAATAAACCCCGCCTCCTCACAAGGCAACCAAACCATCAACAAGCTCTTCCTAAATTCTTTGCCAGTAGCATCATGCTAACTGCTGCAAGTCAGGTGTACGGGCGCTGGGGTGCAGCCTCCTCCAACTTCCTGAGGAGAAACGCCTATTTTAACATGTTAGACATCTTTTAATTAGATAATATTTTACTCGTACAATGCTACTGGTCGACTGCCAGTACCTGTGAACATTCAATAAGTTATTTTCAAATTGTATTTGGTTAATTTCTGTCTAAATACATTTACTTCCTGGTTCGGCACAGAGGTACAGTGGACAACGTCCTGGGTGCAGGACCTGAAGCGGCTCTCTGAAAAATACATACGCCATGCAAGTTGCCACAGTCAGTCAGACACAATGAGGCTCCATTTTTTTCGGCAGGCTGACAACTCCATGAAGCCCCCCCCCCATAAATGTCTCTTTATTTGTCATCACTCACTGTGTTTTTGTTACTACGTTATAAATCGATGTCACATCACCGTCAAACTGTCGTGGTCTGTTTTTGTTTTACCTTGGTCTTCTCTGGGTCAGCCTCTTTGTGATTGGTCAGGTCTGGGGAGAGCTCTGATTGGCCATTGTGTTTGTCAATCAGGCCGGCCATGTTGGCAGCAGAGATGTTTCTGCTGAACAAGCTGTGATCTTTCTCATCACTGGGATGACTGACAACAAAGAGAGGGACAAAGACATGATTGATGGACAGATGATGGACAGATGGATGGACAAATGGAAGATGGACAGATGGATGATGGACAGATGGATGATGGACAGATGGATGATGGACAGACCTGTGTCGGAGCAGCAGAGCTCTCAGGACGTTGGTTCGATCCTCAGCTTTGATCTGATCTGAGATCACCATCTGCTCTGCCACCTGCTGGGCGATGTCCGGCAGCGTCCTCTGCTTCAGGTCCAGAAGCACCGCCCCTGAAAAGACAACACCATGATGTCACACCATGACATCATAACTCACCTGGAGTTGGTTTCGACAGAAGGTGAGTGCTCTGTGTGTGTGCAATGTCAGTGGTTGTCCAGTGGGGGCAGCACAGAGCTAACCATGGGAGATGGTTTTTCGAAGCTCCAGCAGCGAACGGAAGGAGAGAGAGGCGACGTGAGGTCGACCCCACCGCTCCGTCTCCTCCTCCACCTCCTCCTCAAACTTGATCCAGCGAGCCGTCTCCCTCCACTGCAGCTCATGGTTCCTGTCAATCATCAGCTCGTTCAGCTCCACAAACACCTACACACACACACACACACACACACACACACACACACACACACACACACAATTGACAGGTTTTTATGTGGGACATGTGTGTTAATGTCAGTGACCTGAGCTGCGACCACACATGGACACCGCAGACGCTCCAGCTGCTCCGTCTGAGACAGTGGTAGCAAAAACTCCAACGCTACATGAACGCAGTGAACATGCATGAGTGTGGTTTATAATACTGTGTGCATGTCACACTTTATCTGTTTAATGATCATATTAAACACACGCACGCACACACACACACACACACACACAGATACAGAGATATAAACACACACACACACA